TCGCTGGATGGTTGACATGCCAGCCATGCCAGACGTTTCTGGGGGGCCTTGCGGAACCTCGTCATTCGGATGCCTTGCGGCACTCGGATGCCTTGCGGCACTCGGGAAGAGCTCGTGCTGTGCTCGTGCCTGCATGGATCGGAAGTTCACATACAGCAAGGTTGCTTTGATTCACCCAGAAACAATGCCAGACATTGAACCAGAGGCCCTTTGTGTCATGGTCATGGCACATAACTACTTAACTAACGCGCCATGAGTGTTTGTCGTCCATTGTGGTGTAGATTGCTGGCTTTTGGTGAGGTGCAGTTCGTGTGGCAGTTGAAAGGCTCATGTTCTTAGTGGCTCACATGCAAACGGCGTTTGGTTCGAATAGCTAAATTATGGAAGTGTGGGACTGACAATGGATGTGCTTGGAGCTGTAAGAGGAGGGAAGGGAAGCAAAGTGGAAATGGAGGCAGAAGAACCACTTGAGATAAACATGCTTTTTTGTTTCTTTGCTTGCTTTGGTTTGCGAGTGGCGGTTGGGTTGCATATGGATCAGTAGGGAAAGTCCGACCGATCTGTGACAGTATTGCACTACCACACGATGCAAAAATATGTTTTGCAACAAGTTTACAGGCAATTAAATAGGTTGCAGTACAAATTTCACCCCCAACAGTTTAGCATGCACTGGCACCAACATTTGCAGCAGAATCTTGTGCTCTGAGTGCTGAGAGCGGCCAGTGTCGAAATATTTCTCTATCAAGCTACACATGGAGCATTCACCCGTTTGACGATTTGTTCCCTGGAGTAGACAGCTACATGCATGCATCCATACATACATACATACATACTTACATACTTGCATACTTACATACATACATCAGTGATATGTGACATGTGTATATAAGCAACACGATGGCGGCCAAAATGGAGAGAACTGAGTGGAACGGAGGTGTCACAGGGTGGTCGCTGCTGGTCCGACTTCGAATCATCCGATGTTGAAGCCGATGTCGATGGTCTCCAGGTGAATCAGCTGGTGACTGTGACCTGGGTGAAACCACGCATCCTTGACCCGGTGGGGAGACCCAGAAGAAAAGAGCTCAATGTGTGAGGCTTCGACATGCAAGATTGTAGCTCGCTATGGCTTTGCCATGTTTTGGTGAGTATGTCACGTTAGGCCCAACTCAACCACTTGTCAACGCCCCCCCCTGGCCTGTTATGTCCATGAACAATCACTGTAGACCATGTTTGTGTGGTTTGCCACGGGAACCTACATCGTAATGCGATTGATTATTGTGGCAAGTTTGATAAGGTTCAACTTAAGGAATTCCAAAAACAGTTTTGTGTTGTCTCTCCGCAGTGGACATGACCGTGGGGTAGTTATAGCCGCAATCCTTTGTTGTTTCTGGCACAACTGGCGCAAGAGTCGAAGCTGTAGCGATTTACAACTTGTTGATTGTAGACAAAATCTAGAACTATAAACACGTTCCGTCACTGGGCTAGGTCAGCCCCAATTGTTTAATGAGAATACGTGACCCAAAACTCTTTGCAACTCCATCCGCCGTCCGAACGCTGCACCGGAGGTGCGCATCGACTTGATGCGCGAACGGATGGACGCATGGGCTTCGCAGACAGGCACGGGAACGAGACGAGTGAGTGAGGGCGAAAGCCGGGGCGTCGCTGAAAGAAAAAAGAACCTCAAAAGAAGGACTGGAAGCACCTTTTTTGTTGAGTTTGTTTGTTTCCAGAACAAGAGGGCCCAGCCCCTAGTCCAAGGATTGCCATGTTCAAGGCACTGCTTGAAACTCTGAAGGAAAAAAAGGCATGTTCCGGCGTTGCCAGAGCTGCTACCTAAGGAAGAAGACCTGGTGCATAAATTGTTTGTTGCAAGAAGATCTACAGCAATCCCGAATAATCGCTTGTTTAAAGAGTTTTTAATTCACAAAACATGAACTCTTGGTATTCCCGGAATCCTGAGCTTTTGGTTTCCTCCTGCTACTCTCACTTGCTCTTGAGTCTGTGCCAGGCTTGTTGTTGGAGCACCTGGAACAAGTCACACCCGAGCTGCTGGTGTGGGGAAGACCCAGTGAGGGGTGATGAAACGATGAAACCGATTCGGATCAACTCAGCTGTCCCGTGTTGTCGTCCTCGGGGACGTTCTGACAACTCCTCACGTGGCATCCATGGTTGGAATGTTGGCTCCTCTCTGTCTCGCTCTTCCCTTGTAGGGGTCATTTGGTTGATGGCTAATTCGTCAGTGAATCTTTTGAGTCAAATGATTTCATTATTATTTTCAGGAATGTTGTAAGGAAGAATGTGAAGTTTGCGGCCAGCAACCCTCCAGCAACCCGTCTTGTTGCATGGCTTTGATGCGATCAAGAAAGTTCAGGTTCCTGGTCTTATGATTCATGAACATGCAGGGAAGATTCAGGAGTTTTGTCGCAGATAACTCCGTGCACCGCGCTGTGTGTCCCAGTTGGACTGGCAAGGTCGTAAGCGACAAGGCCGAGGAAAACTGGAGGCCGGAAAAGGAAAAGACGTCAGCAGTCAGCAGTTCTTGCTCGGTTGTAATGGGTTTGTTATGGTGTGTTTGTTTTTGGTTGTTTCTTTATGCCAAACTTTGGTTGCTCATTTGGTTTTAGCTGAGGAAGCTGGACTTAATTTGTGGAATTTTCTTGGAGTTCAACAAATTGTCAATAGTGTATGTTTGTTTGTGTTTGATTTTGTATATACTTCTATATATATATACGTGGGTAAATGCTGGCAAACTTTGATTAAATCATGCTGCAGGTTCTCTTGCAACTCGTTGCTGGTAGAATGTGATAAACCGTCACCGTGATAAACTATGTAATTTAATGTATCATGTCATAGTATCGGGGCAATCCAGGAATGAATGGAACTCATAATTAGTACTTTAAACAGGTTTCTCCATATCCAGCACGCCTTTGGTTGCGCACCTCAGATTATGTTCCAAGTCAAATAGCATGGCCACCTGGAAAAAGAAACCTATATAACTCCCAAATAAACAACATGCATATAAAAGGGAGCAAAGTGGAGCTTGAACCCACTGGTGATTGCTGGGTCCCAGATTGAGAAGACACCGAAACCTCAGCAGCTCAAATTCCGAGTTGCTCAAAGCATGTTTTGGGGGGTGTTCTGCCTACAGTTCTGTGGGGTACATTAAGAACCGATGGTTTCTACGTCTTTCTCTACAAACCAGTCTGCAAGCCATAGAGTGGTTTTTCATGGACCACAACCACCAAAGTTACAAGCACCTAATCATGGTGTTCCTTCCTCCGCCGGCCTCCACCCCACCCTGTTCCTTTCCACGTGCCTTAACACCAGGACCCAGCAGAGGAGGAGCTGAAACGGCGGCGCTTCCCATGCTCAACGCTCTAAAAAGCGGGCCTCCTTGGTACCTTTGCTTCGCGTTGCAAGCAGCGGTCCTCCTCCTGTGAGTTATCCACAGGTCCACAGGTCAACTTGGAAATCCAGGTGTTTGTCGGTGTTCGTACAGCTTTTAAGGGTGACCCAGCAACCAGCAGCCTTCCAGCTGCCTTTGTTTGAGATTCTACTAACCCTAGCAAGAAACTTGCAACAGACTGACATGTTTACTGGCAGATGTCTCCCAAGAGCAGCTTCAGTGGTTTTTGTGTTGCATCTAAACAAATGTTGCATTCCCGGAATGTTCGGGAGGTACACAATTTGCTAGAGCACCGTTTCTTTTACAGGCAAACACTGTCACACTTGCTTTAACATCTTGCACAGCCTGGCAGTCTGGCCATGTGTCTTCTTGGTTATATATATATATATATACTTTTTGTTAAGCTTCAGGCTGGAGGCATGTGGACTCAGATGACCAATTATATTTATGATTATATAGATATGTTGATATATACATATATACGTCAAACCCTCCGATTCCAACAAATAACTCTTGCTGCCTTGATTTGAACTTCATCCAAAGCCACCGAGCCTATGTGTTTTTGGCTCAGAACCAGACTTCAGCACTCCAAACTGGGAATCATATTGGTATTTATGTTGGTGTGTCTCAAGCATGACCCTATATTCCCTCAGACCTTTGATTACACAAACATGGCATTGTGACCGGTTTAGCGGTATGAAGCCAGGTCGGACCGCCCTCGGTTGGACCGTAACCCGCCCTCCTGACCGTCCTGACCGTTCCGCCGTCCAACTTCTGGCTCCTAGCCGGTGCGTTTCTGAATAAGTCCTAAACAGTCTCAATCCACCATGGGTGTCAAATGCAGTGGGGTTTTCATCAAGTCCAAGGCTTTTTCTTTGCGCCATGCTGAAACACAAGATATTGTTGTTCACATTCCCAATGTTTGAGTTCTGATCGGCATGCGTTCCTTTTTTGGAGTTCACCGTGACTTCGCTCATGAAAACCATCCAAATACAGACCAGACTGGACAATTCCCACATGGCCACATAGCACTGAGAATTGTCACAGCGCCGGAGTCCAGTCGAACACCCACCGGAAGAAAAATACCCCACTCGCGGCAGCTGTGAGCTTCCAGGAACCTTCCCTCATGTCATATTTTTATTGTAAAAAACACATGAACTGAGAGATTCACAATGCATTTGTTTACATGTAAGAAATGGCATCCAACGCATTTCAACGAGTTCCGTTCAACTGCCTTCACTGCGTCACCTGGACTCTGTCCGCCTGCGAACCGGCCTGCACGGCCATTGCAGGCAAGGGCTTCGAGATCCCGCATGGCACTGCATGGTTGAGCGTGCCTTTGTGGTTTATTGGGTTTGAGCGTGGATATGTTTCATTGCTGTTTCATATTGTTTCTGTGTATTTGTAGATTTTACTGTTTTGAGCTGTGTGGAAGGGCCTGAAGAGTAGTCATGTCAGATGTCCGTTTCTTCTCAAAAATAGCGAAAAATACGTGCAGGGTTGTGAGTTATAATATGGATAAAGGCTGATAAAGGATATGGTTTTGGGTGAAACCAATTGTCGTGCGCGTGTCATCCCGCAGGACCCAGGACCCATGCTAAGTCCCAAGGAGCAAAAGGAGGACCCGATCTGGGCGAGGTCCCGCTCTCCATCATTGGCCCAGTCAATGAAGGGCATTCACCGACCTCACGGTGGGAAGATGTTTAAATACAAGCTGTGAAAAACAGCGGGGCTGGCGTTCTTGGTGAAATAAATAGGTCAGCTGAGATAAACAAAGTGAGCGAATGTTTTCTACGAAAGTTCCTTGAAGGCCAGACTGGAGGTCCTGGGACCTGCATGAGGGACGGTTCCCCTGGATTGATAGCCAAAGGTTGCCTTTGTACTCCCCGATAGTGAATAAAGTATAAAAACCGGTGGAACTGGGATTCTTTCCATGGCTCTCCAACTTGCAGATTTGCCTCATCGGCAGATTTAGGATTGTTTGAGCCCCAGACAAGCACACCTTGTGTCAAGCACTGAATCGCTGGGATCCTCCGCGGTTATGAGCAAGTCCTCCATCTTGGCAGGTATCATAGGAATATATTATTTAGGTATCATACCGGCCCTTTGCATCATGAGTTCATGATTGAATCGAATGAGCTGAAGTAGGTGTTGGATGGTTCTGACAGTGCCAGAACTCGAATGGACATTGCTACTCTCAGCGACACTCGCCACAAAGCATGGAAACTGGTAGAGCCACCATCTCTCACCAGGGAAACGCACCTTCAAAACCGACTGCAGTGAGCTCGGTGCGAACTCTCATCAACCTTGGTCGAGCCTGAACGAGGAGCGTTCCACATCAGCCTTCGTCGGGGAGCACCAGCGGCACCGGAGAGGGCTCAAGTGGTAGAGCGACGAGTTGACCAGTGAGGTGCGTCCAACCCGGCTGGTCGCATGGTAGGCTGCCTATGAGAAATAGTTGCAACATCTACGGAAAAGATGTTTGGAAACCTCTGGTGCTTCCAAGGGTTCATCCCACTTCATGACTTGAAGGGTTTCTTTATTGCATTTTTAGTAGGAATCTGACTAGCTAGCCAGGGATCTCCTCTGGAAGGCAGCATGGGTGAAGTGATTGTCCTTTTTCAGAGTGGAAGCGGCCAGCAAGATCTCGGAGGCACTACGACATCCCTCGATCTCGACCTCCAAGATGCTCAGCTGAGCAAAGCTGGGTATAAATACATCAAACATGTGCAGTGTACCCCTTTGCAGGCTTATATTATAAACACTGTTTCATTTAGAGATGATGATGTGTGTCCTTATCCCCCTCGTGGACAAATTGCTTGTGATTGGAGCCATGAATGCTCCAGGCTCAAGCGGTTTGCTTGGAACAACGTGCTTTCACCTGTGTTCACCACCTGGCCCCCGAAATCAACCGACCAAAGCATCGGAATCGGAACACCTTCGGTTCTCGACGGCCCCCGCCGGGTCCACGTCGTCGCAGATGGGGCGTTCGACACCGGTTCGGCCGCCCAGGCCTCTTTGGCGAATGCGGCGAGCTCCTTCCTTCCCAACTTCTCGTCAGGTCGAGTCACAGGGTCGGTCGCGCACGGAGACACAGAGAGGGGAACTCAATGTATGGGAAGACACTGAGACTGAGACGCAGCAAGAACCAGACCTAGATATAGGAAGACTAAGATGAGAAGCAAAGGCTTGTAACCAAGTAGGGGCTTGCTTCCTGGCCAGAGTGGCAAGTGAGCAAGAATCAGGAAGAAAAAGGCTAAAGAACATTGAAGATCTAGCTGAGAGGTGGAACGATTAGATAGGAAGGTAGTTACATCCCTGCTTGGGACCTGGGGCTGCTTCCCCTTGGGACCTTACCTCGAGCAGGCTTGCGCCGCGCACCTTCTTCGCTCCCCGGGGGGCATCCGATGTTTGCTTATTCCTACCTCTTTGATTGCCACCTGATGGGTGTGACTAGTGGGTCACTGGTCCGGTTCCAACATCAGCAGGTACTGGGGATCCATCAGGTAATTAGATGGCCTCCAACTTACTAGCAATGGCCTCAAACCTAAGAGCGATGGCCTCCAACCTAAGAGCCATGGCCTCCAAGCAGCTGTTTTTTCGTTCCAAGTTCCATTCGTCGCTGTACCTGGTTAGGAGACGACGCTGAGCAGAAGGAGCTACCGTCGGTTTTGGAGCTACCTTCGGTTCATGAGAATGAGTATCGAATGAAGCTACTAGTAGCATGGGCATCGCTACTAGTCACAAGGGCATTACTAGCTAGCGAACGAAGCTACTCTGTGGGATAGGCCGTCTCCCGTCTCCCGTCGCAACATGCAGAAGCAAGTGCCACACGTGACGCCAGAAGACTTGGTATGGTTCTTTCATGGGCTTTGCGCCCGCACTGCACTTCCTTTTGTGATCTCTTGTGGTATGGTACCAAAGGAAGCTGGATGCAAGATGATGCAAACTTTAGATGTTTATTTATGTGTGCAATCCCTCGTTTGGACAGCAAGACTTGTTGGACTAAAGTACCCTGCAAGAAACATCCTGTCATCCAAGAGTCTATCCTTGATGCTTCTCAACTGTTGATGATCATGAATCATGAACTGAGAAATCTAGCTCGAATCAAGGATGATGACCGCAAACAAAGTGATGTGAACATGGGAAGTAATGTTGCTGCGGTTCAACTTGTTTTGGCTATGTTTTGCTGCGCCTCAGCCAACAGGATAGCTAGCACATGCAAAAGCACAAAAACAACTGAAGGGTATTTCAGAAACTCCCGAACACGGTCTGAACATTCCTTGATGTTTTGTCACTTTTTTCAGCCGATGTGGTTCGCAGGAGCAGTCCAGCCGAAGGCCGGGTGTTCTATAAGCGCTCGCGCGAGATGTGGGTGGGAAGCCCCAAAAAGTCGGCGTCTCGGATGTTGTCCAAAACTATATAGATGCCCTGGATTCAGATGCAAACGGATCCCCTTTCTCCACACACCCTCCATTTAGCCTTTATGGATGTTGGATGATGTTGGGTCGAAAGAGCTCTTTTTGACTCTACACCTCAGTATCAACATTTGGGTGTCAGGCCCAAGTCGGTCCAAGTCGTGCGGCTTCTTGAAACTACTTCTCCACATGTAAGATACTACTACAGAGCATGGCTTTTTGTGACCTTTGTCAGAAATAGTGGTGTACCATGAGCAAGCGCGGCAATGCAAGACATTTCAAGGTATTTCATTGGCTTGGACACATCAAGTGCGTCCACTTGACCAGCAGCCATGCAGAGCCACAGAAGCGGCTTCCGCCCCGGGCATGCCAGGAATAGCAGAAACGAGGCAACGGAGTTGGGGGATGTGAACTTGGCAACGGAGTTGGGTTCCTGGGTCCAGGTGTGCATTTGGGCTCTGGCCTATAGACCTGTATAGGCATATAGACCTCTCGAACTCAATTTACAGCGGCAGATTAAGATTTAGTCATTCACACCTGGTGTGTGGTATTGTGTCAAGAAACTGCTAAAAATGGCAGCGACAATCAGATTCCGCATGGTCCGGCCTTCTGTCGATCTGCTGTTTGGTCCCTTTTGCACAGTATCATTAGCATCTACTTGATTGAGATAGGAGGCTTCAATCGTCCCGGGTCTACAACTCATGAGATCCTTTCCATCTGCCGAATGGCTGCTAGGAGACGGTGGCTTCCCCCCGCAGGGCGGCCCAGGAGTCTGGGACGAGGTCCTGAGTGATGCAAGGAGGGACCTGAGACGATCGTGACGATCCAAGGCAAGTGGGTTTCTGGCCTAATTATACGTACTTGGGGCCAAAGAGACCCCCACAACGACCCCACCGGACTCTTCCGTTTCGTATGACGGATGTCCTGCAGGAAAAGTGGAGTTGGATGAGAGTAGGTTGGCATTCAAACATGTCGTGATGTGATAGGTCACGGACCAATCATAGCTCTCATCTTGACTTGATTGCTAAGTCTACAAACAAATACAAACGAAGACGTAGAGAATGTGTTCTTATCGAAAGGCCAAGGGCGCTGGACCCCAACAATCTCATGTCGTTTCACGTGTGTTTTTCTACACCAGGCCCGCCAGGTCGAGAACGTGAGTTTAACTTGAAGAAGACTATACCCAGACCATCCATGTATGGAATAGTATTCCAGACATGGTTTGATCTGGACATGGAGGCTCCACGTGCTTCAACCCCAGGTTCGACCGCTCTGACCATCCCTGCAGGCTCCAACGGACAGACGCGCCCTTTGTCGGGGTCGACCGAAGCGGCTGGGAGCCTCGGGGTCGACAGACGTGGCATCGGTTGGTGCCGGGTTGGAATCTGCAGCTGGGTTGGCCAAAAAATCCAGTGGCACTTTGGTGGGAGAGCTTGGCGACGTGGGAGGGCTTGGCGACATCTGGTAACCACCCCCTATTGAATCTTCATACTATTGTCATGGCCGACCTTAACACGCTCGTTGATGGTGTCCAACCTCGCTCACCGCAAGCAGATGAACCCAGGTATAGACATGACCCACGCATAGACTCTAAGGTATAAAGCCAGGGCGGCTCTCTGACCCGTTCTTAAGCACTGCCAGGCTTCAGGTTGCAAACACCATTGGGTTTCGCGACGTCTCTCTAGCTCGGTTTTCAGAGCAGACTGCTGGCAAAAGTGACCTTCCGTGTATGGCATAATTACGTATAGATGTATATATAGACCCCCACCAAAAATGTATTGGAAGCCGTTCCTATCTATTTGGGACCACTATACAGTGAACCCTGAAACCATCCCAATCTAGGTGCCATGCATGGATGGTTTGTGTAAGACCAAGATGTCGGATGTAAGACCAGAACGTCGAATTCGTTTGTTCTCGTCTTGTTTGAACCAGGCTGAAAAACAGAATAGATCAACAGGCCTTCTCAACTTCTTTGATCCCCATTCCCCAGTTGTGTATGTTGTTCCAAGTCAACGGTTTCCTCCCGCGTCCCCCCCCCCGCTTCCGCGTCCGCGTCGCTCGCACACACACGCCCGCCACGCCGAAGACGCACGACAAACCCCGCGTCACCCGACAGGAAGTCACCGCGTCACCGGCCGTCACCTTGCCTTTGCCGCTGGGGTCGCCCAGATTCACCGCCGGCGACATGTGGCGACCCCCGGAAACCGGTCGGCCCGGACGGTCGTTTGACACTTGGGTTATGTTGAATTCTCTTTATGCTTCTTAGATAGTTAAAATAGATTAAAATAGTATAAATATGTATAAATAGTGACCGTATCATCCAATACCGGGAGAGAACTACTAAGTGAACTACTATTTGTCCGCGAAAAATTCTTTTCGTCCGCCCCCTCGTCCTGTGGCCGGAATGGGGTCTGGGAGATCCAACTAAGACAAGACCAACGTACAATGAGACTAGGCATGAGAAAACAGCCAACCAACAAGTTCATTATGATGAACTAACAATGAAAACTTATACAGAAAACTAGCAATGAAGGATATATATATATATACGTATACATATTATTATATAGGTTGTTTTTTCCCCACCTGTCAGGTGAGGGTTGTTAGATTTTACGTCAGCCCCATCTCCTCCTCCACCTCCGCCTCCTCCGCCGCCTCGTCCTCCTCCGCCTCCTCCGCCGGACCTCGATCAACCGCGACCATCCACGCCCAGTGTTCCCTGCCGGACCTCAACCGCGAGCTCCAGACCCGAGTGTTCCCTGCCGGACCTCAACCACAGCACACAACCACAACCACAGCCACGAGCACAAACACACAATCACAAACACACAACTACAAACACACAACCACAAACACAACCACAACACCCAACCACAAACACAATCAATCACAAACGCACAACCACAAACACAACCACAGCCACAATCCCAAACGCGCAATCACAAGCACACAACCACAAACACAACCACAGCCACAACCACAAACACGCAACCACAACCACAAACATAATCACAAACGTCACCACAAGCACACAACAACAAACACAAAACCACAAACACAATCACAAACACACAACCACAAACACAACCACAGCCACAATCACAAACACGCAATCACAAGCACACAACCACAAACACAACCACAGCCACAACCACAAACACACAAGCACAACCACAAACACAATCACAAACACACAGCCACAAACACAACCACAGCCACCATCACAATCACGCAATCACAAGCACACAACCTTAAACACAACCACAGCCACGATCACAAACAGGCAAACACAAACACACAACAGCAAACAGAACCACAAACACAATCACAAACACGCAGCCACAAACACACAACCACAAACACACAATCACAAACATACAATCACAAACACACAATCACAACGACGCATCCACAGCACACTACCACAAAGATGCAACCACAGCACACAACCACAAGACACAACCACAGCACAGAACCACAGCACACAACTACAACACACAACCACAACAGACAACCACAACAACACGCAACCACAGCACACAACCACAACGCACAACCGGAGGACCGAAGCAATATCGAGAATCACAAAACTCACGACCGCGGCAACATGTTCCTCAGCATGGCTTGTAAACACATGACTGAGATGTCATGGTGGGGATCACTCGAAGCAAAGTAATTTGTTTATCATGATTATCATGATGCCGGGTCCACATGTGTCCGAACGATTTTTGTGCCGTTTTGTTTCACGTGCTGTCCCTTGTTTTTGACGGTTTCTGGAGATCCTTTGCATTGTGGCTGTGCCATGGCTGGCAATGCCGACAATGTGTGTGTGTGAAGTGTGAGAGAGTGTGTGAGCTACATGACAACTGCATGATTTCAACTATATAGTGCTTGTTCTTCAACTCAACATCGATTCACTTTTATCATCCTTTAATATCCATTTAATATCCTTTATTGGCATGTTGCTTCTGCAAAATAAATACACAACTGTAATTAGCCAGATAGTGGTTCAACCTCAATGTTCATAGCTTGGTAAACATGTCCTGTCAAGTGCCAATGTGTTAGCCCTCAACCTTGGCAGCCCTAGCCATACAGTATATCAGGATCGAGAGCAACTATTTATAACACTTGTATAGTCTCCGTACTGAGTATATGCAGTAAATTACTTCTTGTGTGAGTGGTACAGAAGCACCAAATGCCTGCATCGGCTCCCATGAGAGGCCTAATGCTTCGGCCCATGGCAGTCCGTTGCCGGGACGCCAACATCACATGAGATGCTCATGGAGCTGAGCGAATTCTGAGGGATGATGAAGAGTTTCCATGTTTTTTTTGGATGAACAGAGCGGGATGGGCACGTTCTCAGCCCTGGTTGGGCACCAGAAGGAGTTGACCACGCATGCGGAAACTAGGAAGAGAGTTTGATGGCCTTGTTGGGTCCGTATTCGAGGTATATCTGAAGTTTAGGAATTGGCCAGCAATTTATGGATGCCGTGGCATGACCATCACGAGGAGACCCTGCCCATGCATTCAGTTCTTAACACGGGTATAAAATTGATAGCGGCTGTACACTCCTTTGATATTGGTTGCAGCTAGACCACTGCAAATAGGTTCCTTTATGACACTCTTTGGTGATCATCCAATGGTGCATACACGTTCGAGGCTGATGGGGCTAGGTCACCACGGACGCCCAGACGGACGCCCCTGCGTGGCCCAGGGGTGCCGGACGCCCGGACAGCTCAGATGGCGAGGCCAGGTCAGCAAATTGTCGTGGGACGAGTGGACGATTTAACACCTGAACAATTCTAAACATGTGTTTTGAACATAGATCCAACAAAGGGCTGTTCCAACTATTTTCAAACGTCCATAAAATCCAACTTAAAGGTTTTTTCTTAAATCCACAAATGATCCACAAAGCTTGATCATCCGCCGTTGAGTTATTCATCTTTTGCGTGCTATTTGGCGTAGCTGAGTTTCTAGGTGTTCCCCAAACAATAAAACAATTAGTGAACCCGTTGGGGACGTCCAATTCATGCAAAGATACATAGATGATGACTTTCAGCCGGATTCACTTCCTGTCCGCTTATTTTGTATTTGGGGTGGAGGAGAGGTCCCAAATATAATCACATGGCCCTCGGCAGTCAATGGCACCTTCCTACCCAGTGTTATCCAAATCGGAGGACCAGTATGTAGCCTTGGTGCTGATGGTTTCCTTTCTCCAACGATACACACCTGAGCACACGAGACAATCAAGCATGACCAGGTCAGTCCCACTCAGTGGGGTAACCCAGAGGGATTGGAGTCGACTTGGAGAACCTCGGTCGAGTCGCAAGAAGGAAACACCGGATATTGTCGAACCATATCGAACCCAGCTATTTGCCATATCACTAGTACGAACGCAAAGGGTACAAACGCAAAGGCTTGCTTGTCCTGATATGCGGGCTTCTCGCAGAGAAGATGCTCGCCGCAATAGAGCAATGCATCCACTTGCTTTTGAAATATTTTTCTTGCTTTTGGAATCTGTTGCCAGGCAAAAGCTGCGAATGTGTTTGAATCAGAGGATTCGACATGATTGCATTGGCATTGGGATGAGTCCTGTTTGGTTGGTAGTTAGTAGCTCATCATGGAAGATGAGCTTGGACAATTTTGTAGATTGTCTGAATTGAAGCACCGCTACAAAATGCCACAAAGAAAAGACTATACCAACCAGGCTTCCATGCACGGTTTCACCACTGCAAAATGTATAGTCTAGTTTTACTTCTGCCACATCTTCAATCAAACTCGACGAGATTGAGAGGAGTCCTTTCCCTAAGAGGGACTCTACGTTTTGGTCCACAACGGTCCGCCACGATTCGCCACTCCAAGGGGCAAGTCTGCCGGGAGCTTGGCCAGACTGTTCACTTCTTGCGGTGAAAGCAGGGGACGGACAAGTGATTTGGTCCTTGCCAAACCATACCAAACAGTTTAACCTAAAGATCGCCAAAGGGTTTACAGTATATCAGAGCTACATCTTGATAGGGAAGATTCTTTAACTTTGAGCCTCCCCTCAGAAGGGTCCTTCCACAGAAGGATCACATCCAGATCACATCCAGCTCCCTAGCCGCGCACCGTTGATGCTGATGAGGCCCCGACGCCTCAAGCTGGAGCACGTGAAGGCGGGCGATTTCTCACGCGAACACCAGGGCGGTGCTGAACACCCAAAGCGGTGCGACACCAGGAATTCACGTGAGCAAGGGTCAAAACCGGGTAAGCCGAACTAAACACCTGGGTCAAGCATTATAAGTTCGTGTAAAGCACATGTTTGAGAATGAATTGTTTTCGAAATTGTTGTCATTTACTTTATACAACGGCGTTTCACCCAAGAGTGTGGTTTCAAATGTTCATTGGAAAACGATACAGGACGCCAAAAAAAAATACCCCTATTGTTACGTACGTTATCATGCGCTAGTTCCTTGATTTTAAAAAGTCTATTTTGGTATGTCCTCCTGCTACAGCAACTCTTCTGAGCATTTGTGCTCAAGGGTTTGATCTGAAGGGCGTCACCTCATGTCCTTGGAGTGGAACGGCTATGGCGCCTGTGTGACTGGGCCACTGGGGAAAAGTCGCGGACTAAAATTCTGACAACGAGCGTCCAAGGTAGCGTCCAAGCATGGGGACCCCAGAATAAGTATTGTAATGGCTTGTATAATTTACAGAACTCTTGCAAGTGTCGCAGGCAATCAGCGATTGTTTGTGTTTGGAGGGCTGTGTCCGGGCTCTTGGCTCATGGGCTGGCCTCAGCCTATGAGGAAAGATGAGGAAAGGCTAGGCTCCACCACTGCACCACTGAACAAGGTACACACCTTTGTCCGCCTGTCTTGGTTTGGAAAGGGGCTGTTTCTTTTTTTTGGTGTTGTGAGCGCAGCGCGTGTGCTTACAATCACATTGATGTCATGAAGCATAGTCAACATCTTAAAACGACACCGTTACGCCAAAGCGATGCCCCAACGATACACGAGAGAGTGCAAAAGGGAAGCTCCTGAGACAGTACCCCATGGGCAAGTGAAAAAAACATATCAGCAAACGAGCGGCAGAAGCCAGCAATGTTGCGCTTGCGAAAGCAGCCCTCTGCAAACGGTGCTGGTGTCCTTCCTCACTAAGCTCGTCACGCTTCCAGTGATTGGAGGGGATGCTCTCAGATCATGAATGTTCACGAATCAAATAGGGGTTCCTGTGTCTTGTTGTCTCTGTGTGTGTTTGCGCTTTGCTGGTTATGATCCGTGACGTTCATGGTTGGTGGCAAGACTCCCACCATGCGAAACATGTAAAACCTGCAAAGTGACACATACAGAATCATACAGTGCTCTCTTTACCAAACATTGTAAAACGATTCGGGATGTCCTAACTTTGAATGAATACAGCTCACGCCTCACAGACCGAGATGGGCAGACCGAGACAGACACACCAAGACACACGGACCGAGACAGATAGACCGAGACAGGCCGACCGAGACAGATAACCGAAACAGACTGACCGAAACAGCCAGACCGAGACAGACAGGCCGAGACCGAGACAGACCGAGACCGAGACAGACAGACCGAGACAGAACCCTCGGTGAAAAGGCTGGTGATTAGATAGGGCCATAGCCAAGCGCTTCTTCACGCTTGGGCCCGGTTAACATTTCCTCCCGGCTCCGAGAGCACAAGTTGCTAGTTCCCGGCTCCGCGAGCGCAGGTTGCTGCCGAGCCGGTCGGGTGCTAATGACATACTTTTCCAATGTATGTTTGGATGTATTTATGCATGTATGTAAGTATGTTTGTATGCATGGATGGATGTCTATGTCTGTCTGTGCGTGTTTGTTTTCCCTTGACTCTGTGCGGGCGGTTTCGACCGCGAAGCGGTGTAAATATTGCATGCAACATCATCCACCGACATCATCATCCATCCGGATTTGGGGGATCCCTTTCAGGGAATCCGATTGAATCAGCATGCAAGAAAAAATGGGAGATGGTAGGAGCAATGTATTGCGTAATAAATAATAAGTAAATTTTTGGGGGGCGGTGGAACGAAAGCATTTGGCATGCACATGTGCGCCCACACAAACACTCCACAAAGCACTCCTTGTTGTTTTTGTGGTTTGTTTTTTTTTTTTTTTTCGCCCGCATGGTAAATCCTATAATGTTTTGATAGTTTTTGGATGTTTTTGGAATATTATATGATGCATCCTGTGGATTTCCGGGAACCCATTGATTGAGTGAACTCATTCAATTGCGCCGGCCATTTCGCAGCCATAGAAACTCTGATGATATAGATTCTTGTATGTATATATATACACGGTATATTCTTTATTGTTTATATGACCCACATTGTGGATGATGTACTTTGTTGGTTTGGGGACCTCGGGACACGAGTGTCCCGCCGGGGACCGGGTCGGCTCGACAGGAGAGCGAGGCTATGAACCGGCAGGTGCAGGCGCATGCCGGGACTGGTGAAGATCAGCAGGGCCGGGTTTGATGGGACCTGCGGCACCTGCATGTGGGGAGATTTTGAGGACCATACACATATTTCAAAGTCCAAGTGGAACGGCTTGGGTGCCCCTTCGTTTACTTAGTGATTGCGAACTGAAACTGTGAGTTTTCCAGCATCCACAGTTCAACTGATACCCACCTCTTTCTGGTTGCCTTTTTCAAAAGGGGCAGATTGGGCAGGGAGAACTTTCAAACAACAAGTGAGCCAAGTGGAACTTTGGTGGCTATTTTCCTTGCCATGTCTTGACACTCCAAATCAATGGCCAAGGTTCATCCTCAGTTCCAAGCTCTGCTCTTTCGTGCCCTCCGGCCCCCAAATGTGCCCTCCAAACCCTAACGCTTCGTCCTGACCACGCTGCCACCCCTCGCCCCTTCTGCCCCGCCTGGCAGGGCCGACCTTCGCGGATCAGCTGGCCGGGGCCACGCAGCGGGCTCCACAGAGGTGTGGGGCGTGGAAAGGGCGTTCGTGTTGGGACGTGCGTGTTGGGACGTGCGTCTCGTGTGCGTTCTCGTGCTGCAAGGTTGGCGGAAGGGAGTGCAGGTGCAAACATGTGCTTCACATGACCAGTTGGGATTCTCGTTCTTTTCTGATGGTCTACATGTCCGTACATGTCCCTGGTGGTCTATGTTGAGGCATGCCTGTTCCTCGGGGCAGCTACCACACACAGAGACAATCTATATACTAAGATCCTGAGGATCAGGTGTTGATGCAGGCAGTCAGTTCACAGCTTGAATCACTATGACGATGCTTCAGAACGTCAGGACGTATACCCCGTCAGGGGGTTTGGCCTCCACAAAAGAAACCAAAAAGGGCACACAAAAGACGGTGCACCGAGCGCCGGCCGGTCCTCGCTCGGCAGGTTGGCCGAACGGTTTCCCTGTTGCACTGGCCGGGGAGGAGCACTCGTGTGTGTATGGAAGTTTTTTGGGGTGTTGAGTTTGGCCACATGTCACATGGTCGTTTGCTTCAATGGTCGCGTTTTTTCAGCACATGAGGAAGGTCGATACAGGTGTGTGGCGGAGAGAGAGAGGAGGGGACAAGGATGTCACCTTCCCTTTGAAGCCTCAGACGAACGTGCCGTAGGAAGCGGGTCCACACAAGACTAGGGTCCAAGATTTGACATTAGCAGTTTTAGCAGAAATCACGTATATATTTTAGATGTCACAATGGTTGAGTCCACCTATGAAAACAGTGGTGTACATGCGTAACACTTATTTACCTTAATGTTTTGTGTTAATAGAGAGAATAGTTCTATTTGGTCATGCTGAAACTGATTCATATATTATGTATATAAAATGTACGTAATGTGGCTCATGGGACCCTCCTTTGGTCAAGCTCCTTCTTCTGCCCAGGTCTGAGGGATCTCTGGTAGAATCCAGATGGTTCGAGTAGATAAAGACATCAAGACATCTTCTACCACCGGCCACCCAGCAGCGACTTACCAGAAGTGCAGATGATATTCCAAACGCCCCAATAGACCAACGAGCAACCTGTAGACTGAACGTTGAAAGGCCACTAATTGGGTCATGGAGCTGGTGTATCTTCACCACATGTTGCTTCGGAATTTTGAAGTTTTCTGTGAAAGGCCGTCGGTGAGTCGCTCGCGAGATCTGGGACATCTGGATTTTCCCATCCGAGGCTACTTGAACAGCTCAAGCACGATTGTTTGGAGGAGGCTGGTTGTCTCACTGTCGAGCATTGGAGGGACAAAAGAACGTGTGTTACTCAGTGGAAACGATCTGGAACCCCAAATCGAAAGCTCTGCACAAAACATGACGTTTGGATCAAATGGGTGAGGGACGTTGCCGCTTCGTTGTTTTTTTTTGCCATGTTCAGCCAGAAGAATGGGTAGTAGATCGGGCTTAGGATCCAAGTTAACTCCAGGAGCTCCTTTTCTGAGTTCCGAATCGATCCAATGAATCCCTGTCGTCATTCCGCCGCGGCGGACCGTTCAAGGCGGTCAGGGGCGTTCCGCGATGTCCCGATGTCATCTTCAGTCGCTCCGGTGGAAAGAGCGATCTCCAAACACGGTGAGTTTCAGGCGTCCAAGGGCCAAAGCAGCTACACTTGGGACCGGGGGCCCTGGGCGAATCTGCGACGGGAACGGAGGGAGCGAAGGGAAGGTAGGCAGTTAAGGATGGTATCAAGGGGCGCTGGAAGAACTGCGACATAACTGCGACCCACGATCCTGCATCAATTTCTGGTGCCGCCGCCTTGGGGCCTAAAACTGGGGTATGGGACAGAGTTTTGAGGGCCCTTTGACATGGTGTTCAAACAGCCCTATTCCTGCAGTACAGGAACTGCAGTACACTGAGTACACCTACATTTTGGCAGTCTGAGCTGCCGTTCTCATAGCCTGCCCCTTCGGTGTCAGAATATGTTGTTACTTTCTCAGGTGGGTTCGACGGTACCAAGGTCCTAGGCTGTTCTAGGTATTTTTCTTGAATGAAATGGAACACTCAAGAGGCAACATCAACTCACTCAGCGCACCGACTCACTCGTTGAGGAAGGAGAGGCCAGTTCCTTGAGCATGTTTTCAGAATGCATCCCACGTTGGTAAGTCATGACAGTGTGCGCGGTAGTAACCCAATCCCGAATGAACTACTTTGAACCACAACACACCACAGGATGAGCATTTAAGTACCCAAGACGATACAAGAAGCAGTCTGCGTCCCATCCCATGACAACTCAAAGCCTTTGCTGCATGACGCCGCACTGCATGGCATGGTCGCTTTCGGATCCAGGACATGCAGCTCCCTTCGAACAGCCGTTCCTTTATGCATCAGGCGTTCCTTCGATCGTGGCGTTTACTTTCTGCTCCGGGAAAGGAGGAGGATGAAAGAGGAAAGACCGGAAGACCCGGGACGGAAAGAGGGACATGTTTTCTTTGTTGCAAGACTCGAAATGATGGATCTCTATCTCCCCACATCTATATGCCAGGAGAAGTCCAGCAAAAAAAGTTGCAGACCCCAAAGTCCGATTCAACATGCGTCATTAATAGACTGTGCACTTGAGGTTATGGTGTAATATGATGTATTTATCGCGCGCGTTGGCGTCGTGTGTTGTTTGCTGTGTTCTGAATGTATGCTGTTTTATTCTTGCTCTTGCAGTTGCTGCTGTTGTTTCTCAGCCCAGATACCTTGTTTCTCCCCACCTGCCTGTAGCTCAGATTTTAGAGGAGACAATTCATACAAGCAGAAGCGCTTCAGCCAGCACCTGGCCGGCAATTAACAAAAGTAACAATCAAGAGAACAGACGACAAATTATCACACTGACAAAAACACAATCAGAACACCAAACACAAAGAACACGTCAGGAGACAAGAAGACAACACCTTGACTGTCCACCCGCGCTTCACCCGCCAGCGCAATTGTGCCACCGTGATCCCGGCCTGATCCCATTGTCCGAGCTTCAGGACGGCGGCCCGACAGCAGAGCAGACAACAAACATCGACTCACATCATGCCAACAGCTAAGAACAACTTGACTCATGACGACGACACCACGAAGGGCGGTAGACAAGGTAGACACAACTAGTGACAAGTGCATTGCTACTAGTAAGGCACCCTAGCTAGTAGTAGTGTCCTTGCTACTATAGGTACTAGTAGCGATGCACCTTGCTACTAGTAGCTATTTGCTACTAGACACACACACAACAACGCCACCTCAAAACGCCACACACTTTTGACACTACAGAAGCACAGACAATCCCAAACATAGTGACAACACCACCCATGACCACAATCATCATAATACTTGACAACACACCAGGACAATAAACGACAGCAGACAACAGAGAATGACACAAAATCTAGACGTTCAATGACGTTCATAGTGGGACAAGCCTGGTTGGGTGTGGATAGCTAGCTGCGCTAGCTAAAGTATGTCTTGCTGGTGCATTCATCCACTGCTTTTTGCAGACCCACAGCTCGAATCTTGCCCTTCTAATCGAAAGGCGCATCGAGGGTGGATGACCATCCCTATACTAATCCTCCAGAGTCATTTAACCACGGAAGCACTTTTATATACTTTTATCATGTTTGCAGTGAAACCATGGCTTAAACCTGTGTGGGATGATGATGACTTAAACGTTATTTAGCTTGACGCAGGATTTTCTATGTTTTTCTTGCTCCCCGGTCAGGTAGCGCGTTCCTTTGCTTCTCGAGTGGAAGCCTTAGGCTTTGAACAAGTGGAGCCCGGGCCCCGGCGACGAACACGGGCGAACGGGTCTTGGCCGAGCTCACGAACACCTGGGTCTCGGGAACCATTTGTGTGTTGGAAGCTTGGAAGATGGTTTGGTTTGGTATGTATGTATGCATACATACTTATAGATTTACAATATATATTCTACACTTCCCGTAAGTTGTATCCCTAGCGAAAAGTTGATGTAGACCTTCAAACAACAATGTCTACGCTCAGAACACACTTAGGAGTTGGAAAAAGTCGCCCAGGCCTAGTTTGTCTACAAGTAAGGATTGACACACAAAAGTCTCATGTAGTCGGTCCTCATCATGTTCCTGGACAAACTCTCAAATGTCCTGGATATGAAAGGCCCTTCTCCATTCGGCACTTGCAGCACTTGCATACAGTATATACAGTATATGTATATATATAATATACATAGATACATATGGATGGTATCGTGATGTTTTGCCGCAGTAGCATAAGATTTTGAGGTAACTAAACCTTGGGGGGAAGTTTCTAAAGTAGGACAACACCTGGCATGGGCGGCTCAGAACATAGGGATCCAAGAGAAAAGCATACAGTAATGCGGGCCCAATTTGTCACCCGTCTCACACCCACATTTTGTCCATGTTGTTGTTGCATCCATCTAGATCATTTCTTAGTCTTGTGTAAGTAGTAAGCATCCATCTACGCAAAGCCAAGGCTGAAAGTAGTCAATCACTGAGATTTGACCGGGGGAACAATGGACATGTTGGATGTGTTCATGTGAAGCCGTAGATTGAAGGAGGCACAGCCAAATTGGCTGATTGGCTGCGGGAACTTCGAGTTTGAGAACCCATTGAATCATATGAATTATGGGGCAAGCACATGCACGACACGTGCAAGACGTCCCAGGTTTAACCAAGTTTGTGACTGGCTTGTAAATGTAGATGATCTAAACATACAATCCCTTCCTTGTTTGTACCGGAAAAACCTTTGAGGACGCCGATCCGTCGAAAACACAGAGCCGTCAGCGATTGAGGTGGTGGAACGGACGTGAATGGAGCAAGCAGAGCCGTCAGCGGGATCCTCAGTGTGTTGCCGTAGGCACCGTAGGTGGCAACGGTTATGGCAGAGAAGCAGTTTCGAAATATATCATCATATATGTGTAGACAGAATTGCCACAACTGCTGGAAGATTGGTTAATGAGTTTTTCTGGTGGTTGAAACCACGCACGAGATTCACACGCAAAGAGGGAAACTGACACATCCATCAGGACACTGTGATCAGAACATCCTCATTGGCATGCACAGAACGTTACATCTCAGGTCCCTTCTTAGTGGTTCATTGGATTTGGTCCGGTACAGTAGTGCGAACGCCGAACACCCTAACACCCCTACACCGGTTTGTTTGTAGAAGTGTGAGATGCAGTGATGCAGTGGCAAACAACATTTGCTACAGTGGTGTCAGAGATTCCTCCAGTCCAGCAAGCCCAGGAATGGGAAAAAAGGGGTTCGCGTTCACAGTTCAGTCAACCAAACGTGTTGTTGTTTTGCGGCAATATTTTTTTGAGCCTTTCTTGTTGCAGAATTGTCCCAACAATTTGCAGTATTGTGAAGCCATGCGGCCATGTCATTAGAGACATTGGGGTTTGGGGTTTGGATCCTTGCCCATCCGTTTCTTTTTGTGTTTGCTTCCTCGAAGGGTGTTCTGGTGTAACAAGAACAGAGGAACCTAGAGAGGGACAAATAAGGGACTTGAAAAAGGGTCGACACTGGCTGATTGGAGGTACCACATCATTCACGACCCGGTCTACGAAAAGTACCATATGAAGATCCGTGTGAGGTGGTTAGACAGGCGTGGCGTTGGACACGAAAACGAAAGACCGGGGAGTGAAGTGTCCATAAGGACAGACAGAGAGATGGGGGAGAACCTTCGAATGGTCATGCAGACGTTCAATCGATGTTGGGCCTCTAAGGACTCAGAGCCATACGTTTGTACTCGTACATTGAACATATGTTTTTGGTAATTGCTTAAATCAGATGATGAGGGCCAATGTCAACCCAGTCCACTCAACCACTGTTTGATTGGCCGGGTGGTCATTTGATCGCGTTGGTCGTTCGGCACGGCAATGATCTACCTGTGAACCTACACCTAGATAAGGACACAGGGCCCCAGGGCTCGTTACGGCCACTGTTTTTCAGTAGGTGGCGCGATTTGTCTCATGTTCATCTTAACAAGAAAAAAAGACCCCACAAACAATTGAGTAGGTGGGGCCCGGCTTGGTATGGTTCATATTTCATGATATTTCATTCTACCAGTAGCTAGTACAACGAAAAAGCCTCTGAGGTTGTTAAGCCATGCTTCGAGGCTTCACCTGAGAGGAGCTGTTTCCGTGCGGCGCGGCCTCCAAAGGTTTCCAGGACACGGAATCCTCATTCCTGTCCCGTCACAGGTTGTGCCCGGGATGCCTCAAATCTGTAGGATTCACCATTCGTCAGGCCTTCGCTAGTAGCTTGGGCGACCTGTCGCCGCACCACACCAGGCCTCGGGCGACCGAAGCGGAGGAGGCTGCCAGGCAGGCGGCCCGGCAGTTGGGGGCGGCCCGGCGGGCGCGGCAGACGGCCAGGCGCCCCCCATCCACTTCAGTCAGCCTGCGACTCAGTTGGTCGGAGTCGGAGGTGCTTGGTTCGGAGGGCGTGACGACGTTTCGTCATTCCTTGGTTGTTGATCAGTGTTTATTTAACATGCAGAAAACAAACCCTTGCCAACTCTGCAAACTGTCATGTTTGTTCCTGGAGACCCGTTCCTGGAGACCTGTTACTGGGTTTGAATCTTAGGGGGAGGTTTGGAGAGATTCATGCCAATTAAACCAACCAAACCAACTTTGCGCGGTGTCGCCAAGATCGCACTAAACTGTTTGGAGTCCGTGCGACTTGAAATGTATCCAGTCAAGTACAAATGGAAGGTGACTTTATGCTTCAGTATGTGGGCTCCAGTTTCCATGTGTGAGGATTCCTCGACCACATTTGAATAGTTAGTTATGCATAATCATAAGCTATTAGATGTATGTTCGATGTAAGTGTGTAAATGGCATGTCTTGTATATATATATATATATATCTATTGACAACATACCCTCAACCTTAGCAAACTATTTCAAGGGTAGGGTTACATACCTAAAATATGTGTTGTTCGAAGTACTTTCAGGTTAATTGATTCATTTGGGGGGGTAGGTACCCCATGTGGGTGTGGCAGTAATTTATGTTGTTTGACAACATGCAACTGCAGGTGCGGGGTGCCACCAAATATTTTGGCAGAGGCTTTGGAATGAGCTGTGCAGAATTAACTGATATATACCGTGCATGGGGGGTACCCACGAAATAATTATTGCAGTTTTAAGTACTTGTTCGTCAGTATAGAGGACATTTGTTTTGCATTCGGCAAGCTTGTGCCTTGGAACGGCTTCAATTCTTGCTAGAAAAGGTGCGTTGTCCATCATTTTGCTGCGCCAATGCTTTGTGAAAGTATTTCACAGGTTGGGGAGCTTTTGGCTTCCCTTGCATTTTGTCAGCATCCAAGTCTCCCTACCCTACCCCAAAGGTTCTTCCCAAATAAGTATAATTTCCAGAACCAGAATTATTTCGAACATGTATAGACTTGCAAAATAACTATGTGCCAAGGTAGGCAAACAACCTCAAAATAGTACTTTTACTATTTCAGGGGTAGTATCACCTAGGTACCCATCTAGCACTGTATTTGACAACATTGCAAGGTGGTATTTGACAACATTGCAAGCACTTCTTCCGATGCCGTCTCAGTCTCAGGCGATAGTGTTGTGGAGCAGTTCAAGCAGTTGTTGGACTTGCAAAGGCAGGTGACGTGTCGTGCCAGACGTGTCGTGCCGGACACGTGTGCTTTGCAAACTTCGGATGCCAACAAGACTGCGTGGCCCCAAATATATATATATATATTATATAGATAGATAGGGATTTTGCGTGGCCGAGTCCCCGGGACTGGGATTGTGTTCGTTCTAGACTAGGCTCACTAGAAGATTCTGTGAGGACTTCCAGAGGTAAACGAGGCACAACATGCCCTTGGATGCCCGTGATTGTTTGTTTGGATGAGACTGGCTTTCCGCAGCGGATGACTCCCAAGCTTCAACCAAGGAGTTCTGAGAGAATTGACGTTACTGAGCAGTTTCGTACAGAAGACTGAAGAACACGTTTGGTGCACTTTGCTGTGATGCGAGAAGATGGCAGAAAGGAGGGAGACAAAACTGAGGAAGAGGTCCGACTAAAGCACAGGAATTTTGTGTATGACTACACTGCTGCCAGTTACTTAGCTTTAATCCACCAAAAAAAGCACCAAAAACGGAAGACCCTGGGACCGAACCATCGTTGCACACCGTGTTCGGAGGACGAACCTCCACGACCTCCGCACAACCACCTTCGCTCCTTCCAACTACCTTCGCTTCGCGAGGCAATTCATGGAACATCAACTGGCGCAGGCCACGGCGAAAGTCGACTGCGTCGACCAAGGAAGAAGCCGGTCAAACATGGAATGGGTCAGGAAGCAGGCATATGAAGGGTGAGCACAACTTCTTGTGAGCGTTACGATATCAAGAAAATGAAGGGCTGGTCGTTTTGAGCAGTCCACCACAGACTACATTGACTAGATTTGTTGGCAGTCATTGGGGAATCGTATTTTATTAAGGAAGGATTGCGCGGTGTGAGCGGGTGTGGGCCAGTGCTGGGCATGTTCTTTTGCAATCATCGGGTTAATCAGCTAAATTTAATAGATTAAATAGTATTTTTGTCCACGTCTGAATCTCGTTGAATCTGCCCGATCAACCACCTGCCACTGCCACTCGCTGTTTCGTTCTCAGCTTGCGGTGAATCCAGCCCTCCCGGCGAAACCGTCCTCTCCACCGAGTAGCCAACATGGCGCGACTCGCGATTCCGCCGCTGGCGCTGCTGGCGCTGGCGCTGCTGACGATGAGCAGCGTGGCGGAGGACACGAAGGAGGACACCAAGTTGACGCCCAAGGCGCTCCAGGAGCCAACTGGCGAAAGCCATTCTGAATGTGTGTTTTGTGTGTGTGCTTTTGACATAAAATACTGGAAGACCAGAATGAAATACTGGAAGACAGATCACACAAAAACACCACGAACATGAGGTTTTCAGAAACCAGTTCTACTGGATCAGTCTGGGCAAGTAGGGAATGTGCGTTTGTCATTGTTTTTCTTTGTTTTGGTTTTCGACATTCATGGGAAGACCAGACACTCTGGCTATCGGAGACTGGAGATTTGAGGTGACCCCAGCTTGGGCCAAATCCTAAACGAGCGGAGAATTCGAGACGGATTTCTAGCTCGGCACCTTAGAACAACAGCTTCGCAGAAATCAACATAAGTTGAATTTGACCCTCTTTGCTAAAGTAGCGTCTAAAATGAACAGCCTGGGCTACAGAGTCATCTAGAGTATGTTTTGTTTGCAGAGGCTTCAAGTTGTACTGCAATGTGCTGCGGCACAAGGTATTTGACAAGTGCCAGGATCTTTTTGAAACGATTCACCCGGAGAAGTCCTTGGCCAACGCAACTGGCCACAGAGCAGGAGGGATCAGGTGGTTTTAGTGGGTCTGGAGGAGGCTTTGCTTTTGAATCCTTCCGGTGCGCTCAACTCGAGGCTGCCGGTTGTGTTTAAAAATATCAGAGGTTCTTGGATGTATTGGCTTTCTCTCTACCAAATGGAACCTGGTCACCAACAAAGCTTTTTACAAGGCTCCAAGATGACGGGACCCAAGGACCATCAAGGCCCATCAAGAACCCAAGGGTAGAAAGCAGGTGTAACCGCCACCATCGTCACCGTCGTCAGTGGCATCGGTCGTTCGACCACTAAACCATCTCAAACCTAAACCGACCACTACACATGCGGTATCGGACATCGGACAAATGGTCATCGGATTTGTGGTTTCAGGATTTTTCATCCAAAAAGGATGGAGGGAACTTCCCCTCCAGAGGCGGAAGTCGTGACCGATTTTTTTTCCCCCTCCAGAGGCCGGCCGCACCGACGAACGAGTTCGTCCAATGATTTTTTTGTGCTGGGACAATCATTAAGAAATATATACAGAATTTGCGACATCGCATGGTCCACAGTGCTTTGACTTATTGAATGTGTTGTACATCGGTTTTAAATTGATTCTTCCCACAGGTTCGAATAGACGACCGCCTGGAAGATAGTCAGACAGAACTTTTGCACAACGAGAATGGGAACATCATGTTGAGACCAATAAAGGCGCATGTCCTCATTGGACATAAGCGGTAATATTGGATTCAGTTTTGTGGGGCAACTACTTGATTGTTCTCACCATGGTCCCCCCAAAACCTCCAAGGAGAATTGGATCTGACATTTTGGGCCATACAAAACGATCAGTGTTCATAGATACCGTTTCTGCACTCCTCACTCAACACATCCACACGCCACACGCTTATCCGGTCACCTGGTCACCCGCGCCCCGCGCAGCGCCTCCATGCAGCTTCAGGTCACCACACTGGTCATGAAGCTCAGCACCCTGACGTCGTCATTCCCCGCATGGTACCCCACGGCCATGGAACAGGTGGGAATGGCCCACAACATCGATCCGATGCCGTCCGAGTGTGCATGAAAGTCGTTGCTGGCTGAACCAAATGCGGCACCAGGAGTCATGAGTGTTCTGAAGAACAGATTGACATATTGTGTAGAATGTTTGGAACGGTTAGAATCCCGTTGAAGTAAACCGGTGGGTATTTCAAACCGGTGGGTATTTCCTGCCGCTCTGCGCCGCTCATTTGGTCGATGCGGCAATGTCCAAAAAGGCAAGAGCAACTGACGTCATAGACAATTCGAAGGATTTGTGCAGCCCGAAGCATGACAACGCCGATGCAGTCCGTTGAGTCCTGCTTGTTCTGTTGTTTATTTGGTTGGTCTGTTTGTGTGGTTTGGTTTGGTTCGGTTTCGCTTTCGGTTTGGTTCGGTTTCGGTTTGGTTCGGTTTTGGGTTGGGTTCGGTTCGGTTCGGTTGGGTTGGGTTGGGTTGTGCAGGTGGAAATTTCTTGTGCTGAGGATCGTTTGCCAAAAGCTAAAATCTGGTAGAAATTTGGCTTTAGCAAACTAGCTGAGTCGTCCGTACTATTGGGAGTCGGTACTGCTTGTGATGTGTGTTTCCATGTGGGAGTCGGTACGGTCAAGAATCCAGATGGTTGGGCTCAAAGGGACACATGGCGATTGGTGCTACCCCCGGAACCCATTTGTTAGGGTCCATAAAACATCCCTGCCTACCGGATTCACGAGCTTTATGTGGGGCGAGTGGTGTAGGAAAGTGAACCGAGGTGTCGGGTAGCAAGAGTTGTCTCAGTCGCCTGATGCCTCTTCCAGCAGGCCATCACCAAGGACAATGGAAAAGAGGAGGCCCGGGCTGCTATTATCCCGAGCTGGGCCGGGGATAGTCCTTAAAGTGGATTTAACTCTTTTTAGCTGGTGGATGATAGGGATTTAAGGATTGTAAAGAGATTAAAGAGGTGATTGGTTTTTCTCCCACAAAAAAGCAGCCGCTACAGCCATCGAAGCAGATCAGGGAGACCGAACGAAATGGCCGAGCCGAAGAAAAAGGCTCGCGGGTAAGAGCTGTTGCATAGCGGCTGACTTTCACACAAGGACGGTCATAAAATTACTCCCTTGCCAGAAGCAACTAGTTCACATCCAGATTTGCCGATGAAAAAGCTTAAGCATTGGTTCAACAGAGCATGTACTGTATCCAGATGTAAGGTGTGGTAACACCATGTAACACCGTCATCCGAACATGGCCAGAGAAAGCGTTAGCTGAAAGCAGCAGAAGAAACCTCATGCCAGTTGCAGGTCAAAAAAAGTGATGGATGAGGCGTTTGAGAAAAAGAAGGACGGGATTGCACAGTTCCATGATGATACTGGATGAGAAGGCCACCATGATAAGTTCCGCCATGATGATGCTCAATGAAAAGAAAAGCACAAGTAACTCACATTACGAAAGCCAGCCGACAGGCTAGGCTGAAGTTATTTCTGCGAACAAATTGAGAGCCCACAACTGACTTGGTGGGGTTGATGGTTTTTGGTGGAGACTACCTTTAGGTGGTTGGTGATGCAGAAGATGCAAGCTTGCTGTAGCACTTGCATCACCAAGTTGTATGGAGCGCCAGTTCCAAAGTCCCGGGTATGTGACGCAAACACAGCATCCTGTGGAGCAGTGATCCACCTAAGCACAGTGTATCAGCTTCCATGTATGGCTCCACCCCTTGGAGTCAAAGGAAATGGGAACCAAAGACTTCGTGTAGGACATCCTAGAATTCCCTTGGACAAACGTCTTCTCCGCCTTGATGGAGTTGGAGTCGTGTAGCTGCGGAGAAAAAGCGAACTAGACAAAGGGAATGGTTACACCATGTGGCCGCCCAATCGAGCCAAGGACGATTCGAAGTTGGCACCCCAACCTCAGTGCCAAAAGGGGGGCCAGAAGCATCAGCTGAAAGAGTAAAGTGCATCTTTAAACTGCCCGCTTGCATGGCAGGCGAACGGTGTGATCTCAAAGCCAAAGTTCGCACTTCCCGGCCACTTCAGTTCGGGCTCTGAGAACCTGGCCGGTGTGACCACTGTGGCAGAGGAAAACTGCACACAGAAATGGCAGGTGATGCCATGGCAAGTGTCCATGAAATTGAGCCGACCACGACGGGAAATTGGCACCTCAACCTGGGTGCCAAAAGAAGCCTGAGAAACGTGCGCTGGACAAGTGAAAGTATGATCTCTTGAAAGGCCAGAGCTATAGCGCCCCAGGGCTCAGCTTCTCGGCCGCTTCAGTTACCTTGGCGCTGCGGTCTGTAGGGCAGAGCAAGTGCATGTTGCCTAGCTGCATGGTAGTAGAAAACGAAGTTTGATGTGAATCTAGAAAAGATAAAGTTGGAACGCTGGGAGCGGTTGGGAAAGGATTGAAAGGATGGCCAAGAAATGGCCATCGGACGAGGGTCAGTGACCCCAAATGCTGACAGACTGCAGCGCGGAAAACACTAATCGTAGAATCTAGACCCAACCGGCCTGCGGCGCAAAAGAACACAGGCTACAGAAAGTTTGTTAAAGGTGACCTAGTTGGAATGGAAAAAGTTGCAGCTAGAAGACGGGTATATCTATCTGCAGCATTTGCCACCACGGCACGTCATTTGTTTGTGTTTCGTGCCGTGGAGTGCTATGGAGGCAACCGCGTCACCAAAACGGTCGAGGCGTGACGTCGCTCACGATCGCTAGCTGACCGCAGTCCGTGCATATTTTTGAAACGGTCAATTGTCGGAAGGACAGAAGCGCAGACTTAAAGAAGAGGTAGAAGTGGAAAAACAAAGGAAACAAAAGACTGTGAAAGGTCTCAAGGTTGTCAGAACATATCACGGTTTTGAACTCGGCAGGTAACTCTCGTTCGCTGAGCTGCCCCTTCCACCGCGTGGCTGGGCAGAGAGGCTAGGGGGCGCACGCGACACGACCTTAGTTGCCGCCCACCCGGCGGCCCCGCACTACGGCGGGTTCTCCGTGCCGTTTCTTCTTTGGTTTCCTTCGCGGGAAGCGCCTTGATGGCTGAAGACGCCAGCATGCGAACAATTTCATTTCTCCAGTCAGGAGTTGGCTGAAGTTTCTAAAGGAAGTCAGCGCAAACAAAATGATACAACCCAAATAGCGAGGAAGGAAAACAACTTCGCTTGTTAGTTGGCTTGATTCCTCCTGTGGCTTTTCAGACCCTCGCGACTTCTGCGAAGGAAGGCCCATGTAGGGTGGAGACGGTAAGCGCGCTACAAGGAAAGCAGGGATGTACCCTCTTTTCTGGCCTATATCTATCCTGTTTGGAGGTCAGCAATGTAGAATCTGAAGCGTCCAGGTATGGAATGGTGCTTGAGAGCTAATTAGGACAAAGACCCCTCCACGCATCTCAGGCCTATATTTCACCACTGCAGGCAGGAGCTTTATATATATATATATATGCTCGGCTACGCAGGTGTAGGTGGCACAGTGGTGTCAATGCCAGCGGCGCGTGTGGAAAGCTGCAGGTTTGCTACAATTAGATGCCACGATTGTCGGACGTGAGTACGACTTGTGCACCAAACCTTTTGTTGCTTGGAGTCTCTTTGCTGCAGCAAAACAAGAAGGCATTTTTGACCATGCAGACTGGCAGTTGGAGCAGATTTCAAGAATCAGCACGATCTAAAAAGCAGACGTGTGTGAAATAGTTGACGAAGTGTGATGGTGAATCGGGGGCCATTCATGACTCAAGAAGTTTGATCCGGCGGCAGCTCGCTGCAAAAAAGTCATCGTAGTGGGCAGGCACTCTCTTGCTGGCTTTTGACCCCTCCTTCTCAGGTTCCATAATTTGGCCTAGCATGTGTTTATTGTTTTTGTGGAAACAGCAAGAGCCTCACATATAACCGGTCATGTTCCAGGTGTGCTAGTACAGCCTTTGCCAGCTAGCTGCATTACAGATGTTTGAGTTCCAGGAGATTTGCCAAACTTACAATGAGCTGGTGGTCGTGGTGAATGGCTTGAAGATGGGTCAACAGCAATTAAAGACCTGGCAAGCGAAGTTGTCGACCCAGCTTATGTCGACGGACCTGGGCAACCTGAATCTGTCTAGTGATTTTTTCATAATTTTTGTTTTTGGGAAGTACATCGTGGACGGAAACAGGTTCTTGAGTTCTCAGTGCTAAGCTTAGAACCACAGACACCCACATCCACTTAATCACTCGGTTTTGGATGTTCAATGTTGGTGTGCTTCCAATATTGAAGTATACCAAATATTTAAAGTGGTTTGTTCGTGTCTCTCCAGTGTGGCAACTGCATCCCCTGTGAGAGCTTTCCGTTTTCAAGTGTTGACAGCCGACTGCCGCTGCCTCATCAGTATATATATATATATATATGTCATCGATATGCTCATGCATGCACCCTCCCATTTGTCAATCTTGACAACCAAAAAGCAAGGCCCCAGCTTAGATTCGTTACATAGGGTCCCCCCGGTCGGGCATTGTTCTTCATCCAAACAACAGCGGTCAGGCTTCATGGAGATGTCCATCTGTTCCAGTCACAAACCATGAACGCTGCCCATTAGTGTTTCCTTGCTCAGATGTTTGTAGCGGTCAGTATGTGGTTTATACTGTGCAACTATTTGAACGCACCCACTCTTCAGACACTGCCGGCCTGAGCTGAGGTAAGCTGAAGGAAACTCAGGCAAGGCCCACGTGTTTTTTTGCAGTGCCTGGAGTTTGTACGAACCAAGCAAGAAGTGGACATATGACTCTGATTTACACCGCAAAGGCCACGTACGTTTAGCGTTGGCAACGAATCAAACATACATGCAGCATCATGCAACCCTGAGCTCAGGGTTTGGCTCCTTTCGTGGCCAAGTTTCAAGCACTCGACAGCCAAGTGGCCAATGGGTTGGCGCAGGCGGGACTTTTGCACTCGGGATGGAAGATTCTAGCTGGTAAAGATCAGCTTGAAGATACTCGAACTGTTTGGGAACGAGTTTTGTTAGTTATGTTACGTTTGTTTGCTTGTTCAAATCCAATCACACAGAACAAAAACAGGTCCAGAAGAGTTCAGATTATGCGGGCCAAATTTGGCAGCTCACTAAAGAAACTCAAGACTCAAGACTGTTGCTGGCTATTGCCAACCGGCCACGCCCAGAAACGGCAAATCGTTGGACAGCGTTCTCGTGATGACGCGTGTGTTCTGTGTGAACTCCAACTCACAAAGGCGAATCGGACAATTGCCCTGTGCAACAAAGGCAAAACTGGCCTTGTAGCCACGGTGTTGAATGGTGTTGCAGGGAAGAACGCAGCAAAAAGGAATACTTATCTTCTTTTGAACTCGATCTTCTCGGCAAGTTCTTTTTTAGTGGGTTCGCGGAGGCCCGCAACACAGATGCACATTGGCATGAACAAGAGTGCTGAAAAATGATCGATCAAGATGATGCCTTAACAAGTTGAAATTATCGGATTTTGTTTTTGCACTTGACCACCTGTGCTTCTATGATGCGTCCTCGATTCGCTCGATTGATCTATTTGGTTGTCAAGGAGTTAACAGCTGAGCCGTTCGGAGTGTATCGTAGACTGTAATGCTGTATACCCTTAGACTCGCTAACGGGCAGGTGCACAAGCACCTTGCTGTAGAGGACAATAGTCATAGTCTTCCCAGGGGCCATATCCACTTCCATGTCAGTGAATTGGAGTGTTTTTGGAGAGAGAAACATCCAAAATCCGTCTATGTTTTAGCAAGAGATGTTCATTGCGAACTTCAGCACAAAAAACAAGTACCACTTGCATCGAGGCTGACCCGTTCCAATCAACTTCTACCATGTGCAACAAAGCCTTTCCCAAGAAGATCCCGGCAGAGATCCAAGCGCGGCTGAAACTCTTTGAGGAGACACCTGTGCGGCTCGGCTTGGTGATCGAAAAAAGAACATGGCGTTCCCCCCCTGGCCTTGGCTTTCGGACTTAGTTTGCAGCTGAGGGTTTCATTTCAAGCTCCATGCGTTGTTCTGGATCGTTTTGGATGTAATTATTGCGGACTGCATCTTGTTGGGTGTAGATCAGTGATGCAAAGATGGTGAGCACTCGCGGTGTTCACAGAGAATTATTGGCATAGTTCGAAGCCGCAAGTCAATGTCGTGGTTTTTGCAGTTCCACGAGCAAATCTTTTTGACACCATCCATCAGAGCTTCAGCTTCGCAACGTTCTTGGGCAAACATGTGGGAAACGACGAGGAGACATATTCAAACACGAACAAGAACTGCTGGAAACTCACTGACGAAAAACATTAGTCGGAAGACTGGAGGTTGATCTCGCGGCAATGGACCAGCTTGGCAGCTGGTGTTGCTCTCCTTGCTGTGGTGCTCCCAGCAGCCATGCTCCTCTTTGCCTACAAGCGTGGAGAACGTCCTGGCTCTGTGGCAATTCTTCCCCTTGAAGATGGTCAAGAAGTTCATGAATTGGTTTGCATTGACGGACCTTAGATAGGCTTTGTATGGATTCAATTTGTATTTTCAAAGCAAAGCTGGAGAAATGCAGGGTTGCGCGTTCCGTAGAGATAGATCCTCCAATGTGAACGGGATGTTATGCCGCCAAAACTTTGGAGGCATAAAAGGCATTGAAAGACATGGATGATTCAGCCCTCCAGAACAACACCTCAGCACACCTCAGCTTTCATCTCATTAAGCATGACAAAGCATGATAGGACGCATGTATTGTTAGCTCTCAATTGGGACATCGACGGTTTTGGTCCGCCTTTGACCAATGCATTTTGACCCGTTGCCTGGGGAGAGGACTTGATGATCCTTGGCCCTTCCCGCAACTGCTGGCGATCCGTGGAATGTGGCCACCAATGAGTGGCGATCATACCGTGGATCAAATCTAGCACATGGATGATACCTCTTTGGGCAACACCTGTCACTACAATTATATAAGTGTATCATCAGAGGTATTTGGACCCAAAGCCCTGCTAAGTACAATACCGATCGTGAGCCATGTGGTGCAGGATTTGGTCCATCAGTAAATAGCACTGTTCCTCCTTGGTCTAAAAGAGATCGGCGACTGCGACAGCGACCTCTCGCGTTCACGAGCACGAAGAACTCGGTGCAGTAGAGATCCACAGAGGCATCAGGTTGGAAGGCAGAGAAACTTGTTATGTTTTGTTTGTAGTGGCAGGGTTCAGATCTGACCAGCAGAATCATCATGTGTTTATTCGATGCCGGTCACATTTGGTTGACTAGAAGTTGTGATACTTGGCTTCCCGGGAGCTCTACAAAGCTGGAGCTGGCTTTTGGGACCAGGTGATAAAACCATCCAATTCTTTCAAGACTTAGTTAGGAGACAAGCTGAAGCCTTCATGCATCTTGACAATGTTGCGGCGCGTGTAATTAATATTATTCCAACATCACCCCTCCACACATGGGCAAGCTATTGTTCTTTTCTGCTCCTCAGGGTTTCAAGACGCCCTGACAGCCTGGATCAGTTGCAGGTCGAGAATGGGCAAATGTCAAAGTCTGACAAGAGCACCTTGGAATACCTTTGACCATCTTCCATGTCGACGTCCGATTCATGTGATGAAGCCCCAGTGACTAAAACTGACACCATGTTCTTTCGAGACGGATTCTGCCACAAACAGTGAACAGATATGAACAGATGAATAAAACATCAACCTGTTCTGTGCAGGGAAAATTGAGAAAATTTTGGCTTTTGTTCATTTGACTCTGTGGGACCTTGCTCGGGTTCCGAGCCGGTTTTTTCGACATGACGATGAGATGGTCAAAGAGATCTTGGAAATTGGTCAAAGATATCAACGAAACACCTGCAGTCCTTGAGTCCTTCCTAACAGGATGGAACAATTTTTATCAAATTTTGCTCATAGGTTGTGACATGCTTTCTCCTAGACTCATGGAGTATGATAGAAGCCACAGAGTGTGCTGTGCTCCCCGCGCTTGAACAAAATCCCGGAGCTGTAGTGTTTGAAAACCAAGAATACTGACACTGCCTATAGCCTCTGGCAACCAACGGTCCTTGCCCTTGGGCAAAACACGTAGGGCTGTTCCAGTGCCGCAAAATTTTAGCTTTATGTAACTGGGGCATGCCAGAACATCACGATATTGACCCAGCTTTAGACTTTACACGAGACTTGTCTCCTTTGATTTCTTCCTCTACCCTGTATCGAATGAAGCAATCTGGTAAGTATACAGTATACAAATATATGTGTATGTATGTAATATATATATATATATTTGCAGGTATTTGGAACGGCCACTACCGCATGCCACTACCGTTTGGAAAGAATTGCACGATCTCCATGTTTAATATGTAAAAATGTGATGGACTTTATCTCAAGCCTGAGTAGCTTGATAGACACAAGGAAGGGGGGGAGGTAAACAATATGGGCAAACATGGGTCATATTAATTAAGTCTAAGTTGGAGGCCATCGCTATTGAAATTGGAAACAAAAACATGTCGCCGCGCCGTGACGCGCCCAATCCATGTGTTTCCAATTCTTGTGGGACTTTGGCCTAGAAGGGAATAGATTGATTCCGGCAAATCCAGCAACCTTGGCTTCCCATCTCCTTGTTTGGGTGCTTCCCATCTCCTGCGACCTGGGGCCCTCAGGCCCCTGGAAGGTGTAATGTTTGGTTGGTTGGTAAAACGAGTTCAAGCTACGGCCATCACACCCGCAAAACCACCTCGCACCTTTGCAACAGCATCAACTGCGGGATGGCAAGAAAGGAATCCATGCTCAATCAAGTTTTTCACCAAAACACGAGGCCCCCAAGCATGATGGGGTCAACCGATAAATAAGAGTCTCTTGTTGCGTCGCATCTTCGCCTGGTGTCCTTCTTTGTCGAACAAGAGTCCGCCGGTTTGTCCAGCACCTTCTTTGATTCATTTTGTTTGCTGGGTCTCCTCCTGTCTATAGACGTTGACCAGCCAGTGCAATGCCATAATCGCCATAGTAAGTAATCAACAAAAAACTGTTTGTACCCTGCATTTGCTTCTTTTCAAAAATGCTGCTTGTTTCAGCCTCGTTTCCATCTTGATGGGATTCCCAGGCAACCTCCCGGCTGCGCCTGAGCTTTCGGGTTGTTTGCTTTGATGGCCGGCGCCGGGTGAAATCGCCAGGGGCGGCAGCACAGTCGGTTGTGTGAAAAAGGACGTCAGCGTCTTCATGCAGTGGGATGGAAGGGGCACTGGATCCGAAGCACTCATATTACATATACATTTCAACAATTATACTGTTTTACGTAGATTTTCTACACTACATATCATCATCATAGCATCATATGTATATATATATATATTTATTTAAGGGCTTACGCCCGACAGCCGGCCAGGGGCGTTGAGGTCTGGAGGGTGGAAGATTGGGTGCGGGTGCAGGCTGAGGGAGTGGATGTTGGGCGGTTGGGCGGGCTTGGGCCTATGTTGCGCACAGCTTGGGTCTAGCTTAGGCCATCTGGAGCCTTTGTTGCGCGGTCTTGGGGCTATGTTGAGCATAGCTTGCGTCTAGCTTGGGCCATCTTGGGCCCATGTTAGCCCACGATGCACACGAAGCACCCCGGTGCGGCACGCATTTCCAGCATTATTTGGGCCTATGTTGACCCATCGTGAGCAACAAGCTCGGAAAAAAGACGTCAAAAACACTGAGTTTTCTGTGTCCCCCACCTGGGGGGCGGATTTGCTTTCTGCTTCGCAGAAGGAGAATGCCTTACGCAGGACCCGGCCCTGACGGGGCGCTTGCGCCCCTGGCCGGATTTATTTAAGGGGCTGCCGCCCGCGGCCGCCGACCCCAGAGCGGCCGTGGGCGGAGGAAAGAGCCCGGGGGTTCGGCTCCTGCTAAGCCCAGAACCTGCCACATTCTCCTGAATCTGGCTTTACCTCAACTATTTTCAGGTTGTGGGTTTAGCAGGTGCTACGTGGCGTTGTGCTGCCGTTCAACCTGAACCGTTTCGGACAACTACCTTTTTCCATCGAAGCATCAGAAACTCATACAACAACCCAGTCGTATTAGAAAATTTTAACCGTTGGCAGGTCTAGGCTCCGCCTGGTCCCGCGCGCGCCCCCTGGCGCCCTGTCTTCCCCTGGGGGGCGGCGCGCGCGCGCGGGACCACTATGCAAGATTGGGGTTGCTTCGTTTTGCACACCATGGGTCCGCAGGGGGGAGTCGAACCCGAGACGCCAGCCTGGACACCGCCTGCACCGCGAAAAAAAACCTGACGGTCCCCACTCCTTTTCAAACATGACCAATGTCCAAAATTTGTGAAAAAATTGTCAATTCTTCGGAAAGCGCTGGTTGGTGGACAAGCCCCAGCTATACCTATACCGAACTATTCTCAGGAGCACGCCGTCCCCGTTCCGCTCACGCTCACACTCTCGGTACTAGAACGGGGTCGGCGGAATATATCAAGGGGGTTCCCCCGCCCATCCTTCATGTCTCTAGAAAAAAACGTCCGGCTCTTCTGGTTGGGGACCAAGTGAATGCTGTTGCTTGCTGGTTGTTTTGGTTCACCTGTGTTGGCCGTGGCCCTTTCTTTAGTGTATAAGAATTCCAAAGCTAGTGCAGATATCCGTACCCTCAAGAATGGGCAAAGGACGTCATGTTTGACACGGACCCTCATCTACTAGGGAATACCACTTGTTAGTAGGTGTGCGTAGTCTCAAATCAACGTGTTCCTGATGTGAAGGTGTGGTGGTGTGCTGTTGGTACCATTGCTGGTACTGGTACTGATTGTCGTGTTGGTGTTGTTGTCATAGAAAGCCTGTCTATGTGCCCCACAGTGCTTCTTCGATCAAGACACTGGCTGGACATTTTGTCGACTTGAAGCCACAAGCAATCAGATTCTAAGTAATAGAACTTGTGTTGCTAGGACAGGAGGCTTGAAGCTGGTGCCATTTCTATTCGTAAGGTGACAGGCCAGAAAAAGGCGAGAAAATATATAACAGAAAGAAAAGGCAAAGGGGCAGAGAGCAGATAGCATTTTTGGTAGAAATACGTGAGCAGCCTCATTTCTGAATCCAGTAGTGTGCAAAGTTTGTGTTTTTACATCGATTCATCCCCATGTCGCTTTGACTCTGCATGGAGCATGGAACCAAGCTGGTTCCAACGTCTTCAGCCCTCGTATCCGGTGCAAAGCGCACAGCCTGTTGCCCGACCCGCGCAAAAGAAACTTGAATGAAGTTCGAAGGAAGGGAGGAATGTGGGTTTTAGATCAGTAAATGTTGAAAAGTACAACTGGAGAGAGCAGTTTTGAGCCCCATGAAATTACGTGCTTTGTATGTGTGCACGGTGTTGTTCTCTAGCACCATCAAAACGTCTTGATTTATCTAGTGTTGATTTGAAATTGTTTGAAATTGGCGCCGACAGTCGCTTCATACGGACAGGGTTTAAGGTTGTTTTTGAAACAGGTTTTTGAAACACTGTTCAACTTCAACCCGGCCAAGATGTTTTGAGATTTGATGTTTGGATAGATTTCATCCA